AAGCGAAGGCACAAGACGACGGTGGAGAAAGAAGCCTGAGGGGCGGGGCGAGAGGGAAGAGCGTGGGTGGGTCCGGGCCCTACTTGGTCACGCCCAAGTGGCCGCCTCGCCCCTAGGAGTGATCCTCGCGCGTTACGGACCCGCATGGCGCGAGCAGCGACACTTCTCCGTGTCCACCCTGCGCAACTTCGGCCTGGGCAAGAAGTGGCTGGAGCAGTGGGTGACCGAGGAGGCCTCCTCCCTCTGTGTTGCCTTTGCCGATCACACCGGTGGGTAGGGCAAAGGCGGGAACCGAGTAGGTGGGGTCGCGGGAGGCAGACCTCTGACCTATGGCTTCTGCTCTCAGGACGTCCCTTTAGCCCGAATGCCCTCCTGGACAGAGCGGTGAGCAACGTGATCGCCTCCCTCACCTTCGGGCGCCGCTTCGACTACGATGACCGGTTCATGCTCAAGATATTGAACCTACTCGAGGCCCAACTTCAGGAGGACGGCAGCAGACTGGCAGCGGTGAGGGGATTGGAGGGGCAGACGGGAGTCCAGGAGGCCCCTTTTTCAGGAGCCTGGACAAGTCTGTGCTTGTAGCCGAGGTGGTTCATGGGCCTGCACCTGGGACTCTACAAAGGATTTGGGGAAAGGACATTCCAGGAGAGGCCACTGTGAGAGGAAAGGCCTGGAGGAGAGAAATCTCCAACAGTAATGGGTGGGCCCAAAGTCAGTGAACCCCAAGAGAGGGCCAAGGAGCCTGTGCCTCCAGAACAGGCTGAAGGCCACCCAAGCCCAGGAGGTTTCGAGTTTAGCTTTCTTCTTCTAGACCCCAGGGGTCAGGAGAGCGCTTGAGACTGCCACTTGGGGAGGTACCAGCCAATGGTGGGGAAAAGCAGGCCCTAGGTCCACCCTGGAGGTGGCTGGAGCCTGAGACTGGTCCAGTTGAACCTGGAGTAGGGGAGAAAGCCAGGCACCCTTCTGTGACTGGCACAGGTGCTGAATTCTATCCCAGTGCTCCTGCGCATCCCAGGGCTGGCTGACAAGGTCATCTGTGCAAGAAGGAAATTCCAGGCCCTTCTAGATGAGCTGGTGACTGAGCATAGGGTGACCCGGGACCCAGCCCAGCCACCCCGAGACCTGACTGATGCCTTCCTGGCCGAGGTGGAGAAGGTGAGGCGCTGCTGCCAGGGATTGGGCCAGGGATGTTGGGTTGAGGGTTCCATGAGGAGTAAGAGGAGGAGGCAATGTAGGACCAGTGCATCACTCAGTGAGACGCACTTGGGCTGACAAGGGCAGAATGGGAGAACATCTGGGCGCTTCCTCCTTCTGCTCTGAGTCCACCCTTTCTATCTGGCTCAGGCCAAGGGGAACCCCGAGAGCAGCTTCAATGATGAGAACCTGCGTCTGGTGGTGTCTGACCTTTTCTCTGCCGGGATGGTGACCACCTCGATCACACTAGCCTGGGCCCTCTTTCTTATGATCCTGCACCCGGATGTGCAGTGTGAGTTCGGTTGGGGGTTTGGGGGAAGGCCGAGCAAGGAAAAGTACAGTCAGGGGCCCCTGAGCTTGGTTGGGATATTCATGGCTCCAAGCACAGACTTGTCCAGGCTCCTGAAAAAGGGGCCTCCTCCTCAGATGGGCACAGCCCTCACCCCACCCAAGAGCCAGGAGAGGGTCAGTGCCCATCCCCTGGGTTCTGACCCACTGTGGGGATGCTTGTCTGTCTAGGCCGTGTCCAACAGGAGATTGACGAAGTGATAGGGCAGGCGCGGCCACCAGAGATGGCTGACCAGGCCCGCATGCCCTTCACCACCGCCGTGATTCATGAGGTGCAGCGCTTTGCAGACATCATCCCTCTAGGTGTGCCCCACATGACCTCCCGCGACATTGAAGTACAGGGTTTCCTCATTCCCAAGGTAGGCCTGGGGACCTCCTCACCCGAGCTCATCATGTTCTGCTTGCTGGTGGTCCCAGCACGGCTGCTGCCACGTGGGGTCAGCTGGGATCCAGGCCACAAAGTACTCAATTCCACAGGCGCCAACTTTCCTGGCCTTGGTGTCAGTGCAGAGCAGGGACAGGGATGGCCTTCATTTCAGTGGGGAAGACAAACCAGAATGTCCCACAGAAGTTGTAGGAACTGTGCCTGCTTGGATAAGAGCAGTGAGGGCCCCCCAGGGAGTCATTAATCTGCCCTGCTATGTGGTCTTCTAGAGGGTGCCCAGAAGCTTCTTGGAACAAGGGTTATTTGCAAGAGTACAGCTGTGTGTCAGGCATGGTTTGTGCCTCATTTGTTTGGTGGCAGGGGTTCTGGCAACCTAGAGTCTTGTCCTCACTGATGCCAGGCTTCTCCTGCCCAGGGAACAACACTCTTCACTAACCTGTCATCAGTACTGAAGGATGAGACTGCTTGGGAAAAACCCTTCTGCTTCCACCCCGAACACTTCCTGGATGCCCAGGGCCGCTTTGTGAAGCAAGAGGCCTTCATGCCTTTCTCAGCAGGTACCTTTTGGCTTCCAGCTCTCTGCCCCCTTTTGGGAGTGTTGGAGGGGTGGAGCCCAGGACCCAGGCTCACCAGGCTCTGTCACCTGCCACAGGCCGGCGCGCATGCCTCGGGGAGCCCTTGGTCCGCATGGAGCTCTTCCTCTTCTTCACCTGCCTCCTGCAGTGCTTCAGCTTCTCGGTGCCTGCTGGACAGCCCCGGCCCAGTAACTATGGAGTTTACCGCATTATGGTGACCCCGCCCCCCTTCCAGCTATGTGCTGTGCCCCGCTAGAGGGGCTATAAGTCCCCAGTCTCCTCAGCTGGGACCCTATGTACAATAAACCAGTTTCTCCCACTTGGTTTCTGAATCTAATCTGAGACCCCTGACAAAGGCCCGGCTGTCTTGCGTTCTCATCACCTCCCTGAAGTCAGTCCTCACCCTGCCTCATTCATCCCCTTTCTTGACCACATGACTTTACTTGAGATGAGGGAATACTCATGTTCAGAATGTGACAGCATCTACCTAAGTCACCCCCAGAGACCCATTCAGGCTTCACAGGTTGGTGACGATGTCCCTGAATAAATCTTGGCTCCAGGGGTGCATGGCAACAGGCTTTTACTGGAAATCATCCCAATCCTTGACTGAGGTGGGAAACTGTGTTGGGGTCTCCAAGACTTCCCTCAGGGTCCGCGACTTGCTACAAGGCCTGTTATTCTCACTGCTATGGTTTATTACAACAAAGCATACTGATGAAAGTCAGCTAAAGTAAAGGCAAGTGGGACAGAGTCCAGAAAGACCAGTTGCCCTCTCCCAGTGGATTTGCACAGACAGTGCTTACATTGCCCGACTTCTGTGAGACACAGAAGAAGGTATTGCTAATAAGGGCAACTCACCAGAGCTTTGGTGTCTTGTTGGGGTTGGTAACCTAAGCTTGAGTGCACACGTGGTTGACCTTAGATACTCAGTTTTCAGTCCCTCTTGAAATCAGACTGATACAGCCTGAGGCCCCTACCCTCAATCACATTGTGAGCATAAACTATGCAGTGTGGCCCAAGGTCCCAGATATCTACAAACACAAAACTATCAGGCAGGATATTTCAATGCCTTAGGGGATATCTCCCAGTCACATCTCAAAAGTCTGTTGTTGGTTTGGATTGTTCAGGGACCGAACTCCCCAAGCCTGTGCAGGTCACATTTTACTGAATAGGGCACACCCCTTGTCTCTTCTAGCAAAATGATCGTATGGTTTTAGTAGCTGTACTTTTTTAAAAAAAGTGTGGTAAGACACATAACATAAAATTACCATCTTAAACTTTTTTTTTTTGAGTTGGAGTCTCACTCCGTTGCCGAGGCTGGAGTGCAGTGGCAGGCTCATAGCCACCGAAGGTCAACCTGCTCGGCTCCAGCGATCCTTCTCAGCCTTCCAAGTAGCTGGAACTACAGGCACACGCTACCACACCTGGCTAAATTTTTTATTTTTATTGTAGAGATGAGGTCTTGTCAAGTTGCCCAGACTGTTCTCAAACTGTGGGCTCAGACAATCTGCTCACCTCGGCCGCCCAAAGTGCTGGGATTATAGGCTTGAGTCACCACGCCCGGCCTTCTTAACCATTTTTAAGTGCACAATTCAGTGAGATTAAGATCGTTGTGGAATCATCACTACTATCCCACCACTGACTCTCTTCATCTGGCAAACCTGAAATCCTGTTCCCATTAAACAATTCACCATTCCCACCTTCCCCCCAGTCCCTGGCAGCCATCATTCTGCCTTCTGTTTCTGTGAGTTTGACAACTATAGAAAAGTCATGTAAGTGGAAGTATACATGATTTGCCTTTTTGTGACTGTCTTATTTCATTTGGCATAATTTCCTTGATATTCATCTGTGTTGTAGACAATATCAGTACTTCTTTCCTTTTTAAGGCTGAATAATGTCCATAGTATAACTATGCCATGTTTGATTTATCCATTCATGCTTCAGTAAACACCTACTTTCTTCCAACTTTTGGCTACAGTGAATAATGCTGCTTGATCATGGGTGTGTAAATATCTCTTTGGAATCCTCCATTTAATTCTCAGATATATTGCAGATTTGAGTACAGACCACCTGAAATAAGCCAATATTGCCATAAAGAAAGTCACAGAGTTTTTTGTTTCCCAGTACATATAAAAGTTGTGTTTATATGAAACTGTATTCAATTAAGTGTTCAATATTATTATGTCCATGGATAATGTACACACCTTAATATAAAAATACTCTATTGCCAAAAAATGATGACATTCATCTGAGTCCTCAGCAAGTCTTAGTCTTTTTTATTGTGGATGGTCTTTCTCTCATGTTGATGGCTGCTGAATGAACAACAGGGTAGTGGTTGCTAAAAGGTGAGGTGGTGTGGCAATTTCTTCAAATAAGTCAGCAATGAACTTGCCCATATTGATGGGCTTTTCCTTTTATGAAAGATTTATCTATAGCCTGCGATGAAGAAAAGGCACTTGATGTAATCCAACATCTCTTCATGATAAAAACCTTCAACCTACTAGGCATCAGAAGAACATATCTCAAGATAATAAGAACTATATATGACAAACACGAACCAACATCACACATAATGGGGAAAAGGTGAAAACATTACCCCACAGAACTGAAACAAGACAGGGAACTCTGCTCTCACCACTCTTATTTAACATTGTACTGGAAATCCTAGCAAAAGCAATCCAGCAGAGAAAGAAAGAAAAGGCATTCACGTTGGCAAGGAAGAAGTCAAATGATTCCTGTTTGCTGACGACATGATTCTATACCTAGAAAATCCCACAATTTCAGTAAAATCTCAGGATACAAAATCAGTGCACAAAAATCAGTAACATTTCTATACACGAGTAATGCTCAAGCTGAGGACCAAACCAATAAGTCAGTCTAGGTGGGCACAGTGGCTCGTGTCTGTAATCACTGCACTTTGGGAGGTCACGGCAGGAGGATTGCTTGAGCCCAGGAGTTTAAGGCCAGCCTGGTCAATATACTGAGATTTTGTCTCTACAAAAAAATTTAAAAATTACCTGGCATAGTGTTACACACCTGTAATCTCATCTATTCAGTATCTGAGGTAGAAGGATCACCTGAGCTCAGGAGGGCAAGGCTGCAGTGAGCTGTGATTATGCCACTCTACTCTAGCCCAGATGACATAGTAAGATTCCAACTAAAAAATAAAAATAAATTTAAAAGAGCATAATCCAATTTATAACACACACACACACACACACACCTAGGAATACACTTAAGCAAGAAGGTGAAATATCTCTAAAAGGAGAATGACAAAACACTGATGAAAGAGATCATACATGACACAAACCAATGGGCAAGCATCCCATGCTCATGGAATGGAAGAATCAATATTGTTAAAAAGAACATACTGCCCAAAGCAATCTACGGATTCAGTGCAATCCCTTTCAAAATACCAACATTATTTTTCCAGAACTGGAAAGAAGAATCTTAATGTTTATATGGAATCAAAAAAGAGCTGAATAGCCAATGCAATTCTAAGTAAAAAGAACAAAAGCAGAGGCATTACGCTGCCTGACTTCAAATTATACTACAAGATTATAAAAACTAAAGCAAAATAAATAAATAAATAAATAAAATTTTAAAAAGAACTAAAGCAGTGTGGTATGGGTAGGAAATAGATTGGTCAAACAGAATAGAGGCCTTATAAATAAAGCCACATATCTAAAAGCAACTACTCTTCAACAAAACTGACCAAAATAAACAAGGGGAAAATGACACTCTATTCAATAAATGGTGCTGGGAAAATTGGCTAGCCATGTGCAAAAGAATGAAAATGGACCCATAGTTTTCACCACATATAAAAATTAACTCAAAATGAATTACAGACTTAAATTTAAGACCCAAAACTTTAAAAATCCTGGAAGAAAACCTAGGAAACACTCTTCAGCACAATGGCATAGGCACAGAGTTTATGACAAAGACTCCAAGAGCAGTTGCGACAAAAACAAAAATAGATAAATGAGACTTAACTAAAAAGTTTCTGCAAAGCAGGAGAAATAACAGTTGAACAGAAGACCTACAGAATGGGAGAAAATGTTTACCAATTATGCCTCAGACAAAGGACTAATGTCCAGAATCTACAAGGAATTCAAACAACCCAACATGAAAAAAACAAACAACACATCAAAAAGTGGGTAAAGGACATGAATAGACACTTCTCAATAGAAGACACACAAGCAACCAATGAACATGGAAAAATGCTTAACATTACTAATCATCAGAGAAATGCAAATTAAAACCACAATGAGGCATCACCTTACACCAGTCAGAAAGGCTATAATTAGAAAGTCAAAGAACAACAGATGTTGGTGCGGTTGTGGAGAAAAGAGAACACTCACTCACTGTTGGTGGCATTGTAAACTAGTTCAACCGCTATGGAAAGCAATTTGGAGATTTCTCCAAAAATGAAAAATTGAGAAACCCAGCCATCTCAGTATATATATACACCACTGAATACTACACAGCCACAAAGAAGAACAAAGTCATGTTATTTGTTGCAACATGGATGGAGCTGAAGATCATCATCTTAAGTGATCTAACTCAGAAACAGAAAAACAAAACTGCGTGTTTTCACTTATCTGTGGAAGCTAAATGGCACAAAGATGGAAATAACAGACACTGGAAACACAAACAAGGAGTGAGGCAGAAAGAGGGATTAGGGTTCAGAAATTACCTATTGGGTACAATGTTCACCATATGGGAAGTGGGCCACTTGAGACCCAATCCCCACCACTACACAATATGTACATGTAATAAACATGCACTTGTATAACCCCTGAGTATTTAAAAAAAAGAAAAAATCAATATGCACTCCATAAATATGTACAATTATTATGTGTCAATTTTTTTAAAGTGAATTTTAAAAGAGGAGAAGCCCTGGACCAGATGCCTTCACCAGTGAATTCTACTAATCATTAAAAGAAAACATCCTGGCTTGTTGCCACATACCTGCAACACCACCTCTTTAGGAGGCTGAGGGGAATCATTTGAGCCCAGGTGTTCAAGACTAGCCAGGGCAACATAGCAAGGCTCTGTGTCTGCCAAAAATAATTTTTAAAAAAGTAGTTGGGCTTGGTGATGCACCCATGTAGTGCCAGTTTTCTGGGGGCTGAGGTGGGTGGATTGCTTAGCTCAGGAGTTTGAGGCTGCAGTGAACTATGATCATTCCACTGCACTGTAGTCTAGGTAACAGAACTAGACCCTGTCTGAGGAGAAGGATGTGGAGTAGGGGGA